CAACTAAAGACGAAACACCAAGTCAGGAAAACCTGACCAGGCATCCAGCAACAAATCATAACCAGCCCCGTTATTAATAAAAGAGAACGGGCACAGACCAAAATACCTGACGACGAAATACCTAAGACCCTTAGGAAAACCGAAGTCTCCTAGAAAATCTACAGTACTAAAAATCGAATAGAGAAACTATAAAACTAGGCTTCGTTTCACAACAGAAAAGAAGAATAATCCGATTATATTTACACCAAGTTTTAGGAAAACAACTCCAAGACACTTTATTACCATTTCTCTATCTTTTGCAATTTATCCTTTGAAGAACTTGTTAAACATTAGAACTCTTATCGTTAGGCTCTTTTAAACAACTCACCTTGGATATTCGCATACTTTTTCTTCCTCATCTTTTCATTTCTTTCATATTCCTATCTGAAAGTACTTCAAAGATCATTTAGCGAGAGCTAATTGACTGGAGTCTTTTTACTTTATCCTTTGATTGAACTCGAGTTCAACACTTTTGCTAAAGCAAAGCTAAAGCCAGTTTACTTTTTAGTATCCACTTTAGCAATAAGGTCTTTAACCTCAGTTAAAGATTTTACATTTCTCAAGTTTCACGAAGAATCGAAAACTAAGTTTTGAGAGTCACTCTCAAAACATACATTTTGTGAGTTTATTCAGTCTCTTTTTTACCTACTACTCAATAGTTCGTAGTCAATAGCTGACACAATTCAAGAACTGGAGCCAAGGATATTGTGAGCTGTGAAAAGCCAAACTGTTCTATAAATCCACTGACATTGAATTGCTCTTGTGTTACACCTCAGATTCATTAATCAACTCTTGTTCTTTCAATCCCATTCCACCTTTTCAAGTGAGTGATTGGGGTGATTTTGGTTTAATCCAGGATAAGATAATATAGAAGCAGCAGTAGCTCTAAGAAAGCACTTTTCTATTGCATGTGTGCCTGAAGACTCATGTTCTGGAAATTCAATCCCAGTTTCTAAATTGAATCAAAGGAGTTTTGTTCATTTCAGATTGAGGCAAGATGGGATCAGTGACCATAGAGTTTGGCAAATAAATTTCACTCAGATTGAGTCGTTATTATAAGAATCTAAAGCACAATGTAATCTTAAAATACCTGAAGGCTAATAAATCAATGGAGTGAACTAAGTAGATTGTGTAGATAATTGGTGTGAAGGCTATTTACATAGGAACAAATGATTTGAATGATT